AAACCCTCGTCTAGCTCTTCATGGCCCGACAATTCCTTGGGTAGTATGCCTAGAAACATGGAGCACAGAGCAAGATCAACCTATGTCGTCAAAAGGAGACCGAAGCTACTACCACTTAAGCGAAGGGAGCTCAGCAGACAAAGTTCTAACAATACTGATCCGCAGAGTTGGTCAAAACGAAATTCAAGGCAGGACGACGCTCCATTATATCAAAGAAGTTAAATACCAACGCAAGAATGCACACCATCTACACCAATCATCTTGAAAACACTCGTGAGAGAACTAAGAGAGACCATGAGATCCTGCTGCAAGCATTAGCTGAAACGCAAGCCGAAGTCATAAGAACTCCAACGGGTGTACGAAGGACACCTTCTTAATAATAATGGAACATTAATTGGCTAACTGAGAGTTCACCAGAAGGATGACCTCCGCCAGAAAGAAAGGCCTTGTTTCCCTACCTTGTTTAAATGGACTATTTTTCTGTCTATGCCCGATGCAGCATTTTCTATGAAACTATCTTGTACTGTAAGTACTTTTAGTTAGGCCTTTATGCTGCTAAGACCTTCCTACTCTAGATATGATGTAAGACCTTCTTCAAAGTCAAATTTTTCCTAAGCTTATTACATCGTAAAGCATCGATGATATTAACAGTCGGCTAACTCCCGTGTCGCCTTTTGTTTAAAAACCCTCATCATACCTTCGTTAATATGCTTTAGTAAAGTCATTGGACTATAGTAATTTAACTCCGGAGGCATTTCCATGTCCCTTCTAGTGGTTGGATCATGTTATCCACCAACCAACGATACCTTGGCTTGAACGACAAACGTCTTAAAAAGACCATTCTACAAACATACTTCTACTCTATACTATGATTGCATCATGGGGATGTAGATCAAACCATCATGAACATACTTCAAATCCGTACTAGTACTGCATCATAGGGATGTATGACAAACTTTCGAGAACATACTTGTACTCTTTACTTAAAGCAATCGAAGTACGTCTAGAGTCAACCAGAATCGCTCACAAAAATCTTTATCTTTCGTATTACAAAAATCATGTCGTCATCCGGAAACGATCCGCCGAGCAACGAAAACCCTATCCTCCATATCGACGCCGCTTCATTTCAAGCTGCAGTAGCAGCTGCGGTGACAACTTTCCTTACACAACACAACAAATGGCAACAATCATAGACTCACGAAGCCATAAGACCAAAAGGAAGAGGCGTTATCATCAAGCCCTAAAGGAGCTCAAGAGATCCCAAAGACTTGCATACCACAGCAACAATTGGCAACTCCTGCAGGACACCTTAGAAAGCAGTTTCCAAGGTGGTATAATGAGGAAGGCACTCACGTCCACATAACTCTGGCTAAACACCTCACTCTCGCCACCAAGGCTAAGTACTAGCCAGTCATGCCACCAATACGGGGAGATAGGACATCTCAAGAAGGATTGTCCTATAACAAAGAACTCTGGCGCAGAAGGTAGGATTCTCAGGGTCACAGCTGCAGGAGAACCTACTATGAACCCACGTTAATGTAATTTAGGCATTTCATTGTAACAGGCTTATAAACCATCCAAAACTAGCACAAATCAGAGTCTTATCCTTTGCGGGATCCCGTCGGTATAGGGATGCTCGTACTGTGTATACTTACCATTTATAGTATACCTTATTCACGACAATAGACTTGTAGTAGTCTAAAGTACTGTGACTCTGTTGATGGTTGCACGGTTGTGTTTTGTCTGTAAACGTTTCATATTCAAATCAAATGTCTTTAAGTTTCCTTATGACTCCAACATTATCTTACGACTTGATTCAATTTGATCCTCACAGAAACAACTTCATACGTACATCTCCTTCTCCGAAAACGTCTTTCTAGCGAAACCATCATCCCGAAACACCAAAGTACCCATGTATAGAATACCTCACAGTTCTTTTATTTTCCAAAGGAATCTCCGAATTATCACTTGTATAGTACGCCAAGTTCAAATCCAAAGAGTCCATACGGTTGAACTTCGCTGATGAACGTATACATAGGGGTGATATATAATCAAGGTCCTACAAGTTTGGAATTGACAATTCCACTTTAACTTCCTTTTCCTCGAGGGGATGAGGGCTTAAAGAAGAATCATTTATTCGACTACCTTTTCAACCTTAATTATAAACGATTCATATAACCGAGACTGTGATGGATGAACCAGGTATGAGTTCTACAATGAACTTCAAGACATAGACTGCCCAAGACTGCGAGTGATCGTGCGTCCGTAAAAATAAACTTAGAAATACCTATCCTTTTCCCCTAATTCATGAGTAGTCATACTTCTATTAGATATTCATGACAGCTAATCCACCCCAAGGTTTCAACATCATGTTTAGCAAGAGTTGGTTAAGTCTACATTGAACCGACATCAGGTGCTATGATAAGCAGTTCGTCCTAACCTCCCTAAAATAACGAAGCTCTAGTTATTTACAGTGACAAATCAAGTAGGAACCCTCTCATCAAATTCGTGTATGCAAGCTCAGAAATGCTTACAAAAGAAATATCATGTATTCCTTGCACACATCGCCAATACGTGCCAAGAAATGAAGGACATTCAGAACATCCAAGAAGTACGCGGCTTTCCCCGACACCTTTCCAGAAGGACAACCGAGACTACCAACACGGCGTCAAGTCAAACTCAGAATCAACTTAGTTCCAGTAGCCAAATCACCTTATTGTCTAGCTCCAACCGAGGTGCAAGAACTTCCTAACGAGCTTAACAAACTCCTCGTAAGGGGATTCTTTAGGACAAGTTTCTCACTTGGAAGAGCACCGGATTCGTCTGTAAACAAGAAAGAGCGTTCCAAACGCTAAAGTAATTCTGATGCATCGCACCAATATTATCCCTCCCAAAAAGGGGATAGAATATTGCATGGTGTAATGCGATGCATCTAACCAAGGGCTTGGTTGTGTTATTATGCAAGAGGAAAGATCACTACCTATACCTCAAGACAGTTTAAGACCCAAGAATTTGATTGTTCAACACATGACCTTGATTCAGGAGCAGCGTTGATTACTCTGAAGATCTGGAGACACTACTTGTAGGGTACAAGGTGTAATACCCTCACCGAACACGGAAACACACAACACACCTTCGACAGGGAAAGGATATCATACCAGTGAAGTCAAACGAAAGAAGAAAGTTGTATCCCATTAGTGAAAGATTCACTAGAATGCCAGGCGAAGACAAATGTTTGCTTAAGAACACGAGTATCAAATAGAACTCCTATCGCTAAATGATTGTTAATACTACTTAAAACTCAAATTTCGGGACGAAATTCCCATTAACAGGGGGATGATGTGACAACCCGATATTTTGAGACAATAAAATGTAACGCCAGTCAAATTTAAGCCAAAACTTAACTATCGTGAAATCATATTTGGGGTAAATAAAGTGGTAGGACTCGTATCAAAGTTTTCGTACATATAAAGAACACTAAAATCCGAGTTATAATGAAGAAGTTATGACCAATCTAAAATTCACGGCGAAAGCCGGCAACGCTGATAGACGTAAAACGCAAAGTTTCGATACAATAATTTTTAGCCTTAGGTATCTAAACGAAAATCGTAGATTACGTTAAACCGTGATCATGCATAAAAAGAACGCCCAAATCTGACTTCGTATGAGAAAGTTATGATTTTCCGAAGTTTCTAACCTAGCAGTAGATAGCTAAAAACTCGAAACAGAGATCGAGCGATCTTTAGCCGACACAACCTAAATGAAAGTTGGATAGCCCGACAATAGGAGTATAACAATAAAAAGTCTGATGAAAACGGACTCCGGATAAAGAAGTTACGGATTTTTAACGAAGTTATCGTGTCCCGGCCTATTAGTTAAAATATAATTAAAAATAAAGTCAAAATTAGCTGACGGAGTCTAAATGAAAGTTGTGGAGTATTTTCTCACCTTCGCGTGGATATAAAGAACGTCAAAAACGGAGCTCGTACGCGAAAGTTACGGAATTTAGAAGAGGACAGGCCGGATTACGCCCCACGTTCTCTGGGAGTACGCCCCGCGTACTAGACCCAAAGTCGAGTCCCATCGGCCCGCCCACTCTACGCTTAGCTAGCCAGGAGTCGTAAGCCATGACGCATTCTTACGCCCAGCGTAACGAGGTACGCGCTGCGTAAGTGAGTACGCCCCGCGTACTCACGCCC